CGCCTAAAAAAAATTTTTTTTACTTTTTTGCAGTATGCAACCTGCAACGCACGAACGTATGACAAATTGCATAATTTAAAATTTCCACAGTTAAATTGATGACGAAATTTAAAAGAATTTTTTTTTTTTTTTTTACGTTTCTTTAATAAATAATTAATTAATAATGATAATGATGATAGTGATGATAATGATGATGATGATGATGATGATAATGATGAAAAGAATTAGAAATAGAAAAATAGTAAGGTAGAAATAATGAGAGTACTTACAAATTTAGAAAAATCGGTTTCTTTAATTTTATTTATTTATTTATTTATTTTTTTTGTTAAAAACATAATGTAAAACCGTGAGAATTTTTTTTTAATAAAATATAAATCAATCAATCAATCGATCGATCGTTCATTTATTGATTCGTTTAAAATCAATTATTAGATGAGAAAGAAATTCATTGTTTGTTTTTCTTTTTGTTTTGCTATATTCTTCTTTCTTTATTCATTATTAAATAATTATTTCTCGTTTTGTTTTCGTTTTTCCTTTTATTTTATTTTATTTTCTTTTTTATTCATTAATAAATATTCGTTTGAAATAATTTAAGTGTTGCACTTTGTTAAAATTTTTCTATTAATAAACGACGAAGGAGAAAAAATAACTTTTTATTTAAAAAAAAAAAAACTTTAATCACTATTACTGTTATTATTAATATTATTACTGTTGTTTTTTTTTTTTTTTAAATAAGGATGCAAATAAAAAAATAATAATAATGACGATAAGGATACAACAAAAATAATAATAATTATCAGAATAATAAATTAATAATAATAATAATAGCAACAACTTTTACAATAACAACAACAACAACAAATGGCAGAATATAAAATTAGTTATCGATTTCAACGTTAGATGTCGCGTTATGATCAATCAAAAAATTTAATCGCGTTTTTTTATCGTTTTAACGGTTTTCTCGATAGAATTTTGTGATTATTAAAAATGATTTTAATAAATTAATTAATTATTTAACGATTAAATTTAATTAAACGTCAAATGGCAATTTAAAAACGTGCGATTTGATCTCGAACAAAATTTACAATTTCGCGGTAAAATTTAAATTTGAATATAAACAATACGTAGAAAACGCGCTCTATCGAATCGTGCCTTAAACTAATGAGTAAGGAAAATATTGAGCCCTGGTAACGCTTGGCTCGGCTATAATATAATTAATAGCTTTGAATTTTTGAAGGGGTCGAGGTCGTCCTCTGGAGTGTCTGCCTACTTTAGCAGATATTCGAGTGAAGCGATTTACCCCGATAAAACGCGTGGGAAAGAGAGAGAAAGAGATATATATATATCTTTTATTATTATTAATATACAACAACTACAACCAACCCTTCAGACGTTCCCTAGAGGGTTGAAATAGAAAAAAAAAAAATAAGACGATGATAATAATGACGATGGTGATGGTGGTGGTGGTTGTAAACGTGGAATTAGTAGCCGACGTCGTCTGTCGGTTAAAGTCACGTAATCGAAAATAAAAAATAAAATAATAATAATAATAATAAAATAATATATTAACCGCGATGAAATTATTCTAGAAAAAAAAATTGTCCGTTTATTATTATTATTATTATTTCCATTTAAAAAACGTCTGTCCGATGATGATGATGATGATGATGATGATTTATATAAATTTTTTTTTTTACTCGATAATTAGCGACCGGAAATCGCGTTTTGAGATTTTTTTAAAAATTATTATTATTATTCACGTCTGTCGTGTAGACGATGACGTTATTATTATTATTATTATTGTTTTGGTTGTTGAAGAATTTTTTTAATTCGTGGAAAACAGTTGGAAGAGTTGTATATAAATAAACAAACGCGCTCACGCACGCACGCACGCACACACACAGGGGGGTGGAAAAGGTTTTAATTCAATTTAAAAAAAAAATTAATTAATAAGATTTCCCGGAAAGAAAAACTGGAAAGTAAAGGAAAAGTTACAGGGAAAAAAACAAAGGGGGAGGGGGGGGCGCGGAAAACCCGGTTTTAGGAAGAGTTAACACGCTGGCGAACACGCTGTCGGTTGTTGGAAAAAAAAAAAAAATTAAATGAAAAATTCCCTTTTTTTTTTTTTCGTATTGCTGTTATTATTATTATTATTATTTAAGTTTTTTAACGTCTCGGAAGGTTTCGTGTTTTTCTTTTTTATCCCCACCCCTCTTCCCCATTCCCTATCTCACGTTTTTTTTTCTCCTTATCCTCATCCCACTTTTTGACCCCCACACTCGGAATATTTTTTTTAATTTTTTTATTTTTCGCTTTACCCCTCCCCTTAATGTTTTACACCTTGCCCTTCTCCCATTCCCCCCACTCCACCCCCATTTCTTCCTTTTAATTTTTTCTTTTTTTTTTCGGTCCGTTTCAAAAGGAAAAATGAAAATAAAATAAATTAACAATTTTTAAATAAACACCGTGGGTCGGGGAGTGGGGTGGGATGGAAGAGGGAGAGGGGAAGAGGTGGGAAGGGGAAAGAGGAGAGAGGGGGAAAAGGAAAATCGCCGCCGAACTTTACAGCAGACCGTTTCCCCTCCTCTCCTTTGACTCAAATCCCTCCCACTTTTTTTCTTTTTTTACGTACCCCTTTCTAATTCTTTTCATCCATTCATTTCTCCCCCTCCCCCTCCCCCTTACCCTTTACTCTTTCCCGGTCACGTGTTCCTCCCCCTCCCCCTTCTCATCCTCCTCCTCCTTTTCCTCTTCACTCGACGAAGTTGAAAAGGAAAAAAAAAAAAAAGAAAAACTTTGAAGTAATTTACAATTTTCTCTGTGAATTCTTCTTCTTTTCCTTTTTCTTCTTGTTCTTCTGCTTCTTCGTCCTTCCTCCATTTTTTTTTCTTTTTTCTTTTTCCACTCACCGCCTTCTATAAATTAATTAAAAACAACTCAACAGAATTTTTTTTTTTCTTTTTTTTTTTTTTTCAAGAAGTTTTCTTCTCCCCGTTTATAAATTTTTTTTTCCGCGATTCAAACGAAAAGGTTTCTTAATAATTAAACCTTTTAATTAATTATTACTCTCTCCCCACCCCACCCCCCAACTTTTATTTTATAAAAAAAAAAATTAATTATTTATTTATTTATTTTTTATATTTTTCACATGTTGGTAATTTTTTTATTTTATGACGTCATCATTATTTCTTTTATATTTATTTACACGTTCGATTATTTCTTTTAAAATTTTTTTTTCTTCCTTCTTCTTTATTTTTGTTTCGAATTTTTTTATTCTTCTTCCACGACGACGACGAGTAAAATTATTTCGGGGATGTTCTTTTTTGTTATGACGACGACAACCCTAAAATGAGGTTTGTTAAGGTACCGTTAGAAAAATATTTTGTTGGGGTGATAAAAAGGGGGTGGCTTATCCTTATCATTAATATTATTATTATTACTAATTTTTTATCAATAATAATAATTTTTTATCGTTGTTTGTTTGTTCGTTTGTTTGTTTATACATTTTCGTTGTTATTTTTTTTTTTTTTATTTAGATTCCGTTTAGGATTTTTTTTTTTTTTTGATATAAAAATCATTTCGATTATATTTATTATTATTATTATTGTTGTTGTTGGGTAAAAAACAAACGAACAAACAAATTCCTAAGTTTGTAACCCTCTCACCTGGTGAATTATTTTTTTTTTTTTTTCGTAAATTTTACCTGAGTTAAATAATTTTTTAGGTTTTAACGAAAATCAAAATGTCTGGCATTGAAATTTTTTTCTTTTTTTTTTTTTTGGGGTACCTTTTATGCGACGGGGTTGATCTCTTTTAACATTTATATATAATTTTTGTGATTGTTGCACCTGAATCAGGTACACAAATTTTTTTTTTTTTTATGCAACAAAAAAAACGGGAAACGAAATTTTTAAAGATGAACCTTTTACAATATTTTATTCATCTCTCTCTTGGGTCTCTCTCTCTTTCTCTCTCTCTTTCTCTCTCTCCTGGGTCTCTCTCTTTCTCTCTCTCTTCTGCATCTCTTTCACTATCTCTTTTTCTTCCTCTCTTCTGCCTATCGTTCGCTGTCTCTTTCTCTTTCTGCATATCGTTCTCATTCTCTCTTTTCTCTTTCCCTCTATGTTCCACGTTGTTCATTGCTCATTGTTCATCATGTTCATGTTGTTTCATTATCCTACCTGATTTTTTCTTTTACTTTCTCTCATTTTCTTTCCCTTTTTTATGTATTTCTCTCACTGTTTGTTTCTTTCTCTCTCTTCTGCCTTGTCTTCCTGTGTTTTTCATCATTAACGATCTCTTATTTTCTTTTTATTTCTCTCTCTGTCTTCTATATCTCATTCACTCTTTGTCTCTCTCTCTCTGTTTAACTCTTTCCTTAGCTTCATTCGAACGTTTAAAAAAAAAATTTGTGACGTCATTAGTAATTCTTTTACGATTCCCAAAATTCACACACGAAACATGAAAAAATATCAAAACTCGTTCGTATTTTTTTTTGTTTTTCATTTCGTGTCAATAAAATTCACAGGCCGTATTACTTTAATAAATAATAATAATAATAATAATAATGATAATAATAATAATAATAATAATAATAATAATAATAATAATAATAATTTTTTAAGTTGAAATTTTTTAAAGAAATAAGAAGAACAAAGAATGAATGAATGAAGAAAACAGGTGTAAATACCTCGAATACCTGTGTCACGATGATGAAGGTTTTGCTTTAATCATTATTATTATTATTATTAAGGGTTGAAATAATGGAGATGAAAAAAAGAAAAAAAAAGGGTGTTTTCATCCACCCTCTAAAAAATTCCGTAATAAGTTATATAAGGGATGAAAAAACGATTGAGGTATTTAAAGTAGGTTTAAACGTTAAATAGAACGGATTCTTACGAAAAAAAGGATTTTAGGGTTTGGCATTGACAAAAAAGACAAGCAGAATGTCTCGTATTTTGTTATTATTATTATCGTTTGTTTGTTGTTTTGGTTTTTTAATGTGTCAGGAATCATCGGATGATGAACAAACGCAACAACAATCAGGAAATTCGCAAACTTCGTTAACATCCTCGTTACCCGGTGAGAAAAAAAATTAAAATTTTTCATATTATCATTATCATTATTATTATTATTATTTACTGTAAGGTGTTTGTTGATGTTTTAGGAGAATTAACAATTTCTGACGGTTTGTTGAGAGCTCTTGGTACGGCAGGTGTTTTAATAACAGGTATCGCAGGTATCGCAGCAATTTTATCATTTTTATTACCCATGTTCGGATTTAGATCCTGCATGTTGTTCGGAACTTGCGATTCGAGTTACGATACGACAGCATACAGTAACGTAAATTCAAATTCTATTTACGACACTCAGGGGTGAGTTAAGGATATCGAAAATATTTTTTTATGTGATAAAAAGGGGGTCGTTGTCGTCGTAAAAAAAATGAACATCCCTTATTTCAGGTACGGTAATTATCAATATAATGGAAATCCATACAAGAAAAGATCTTTGGAATATGTCGGTCCAATATTAAAAATGTTAACGGCTGCTTATGATAAATACGGACCGAAATATTCTAGACAATCAAAATCGTTTGCGTTTTTCGATAATCAACAACAACAACAACAACAACAACAACCATCGCAACAACCATCACAACAACAAAAATAAACGAGTGAATGAATTAAAAAAAAAAAAAGAAAAAAAAAAACTTTTTTAAGTGAGAATTTTTTTTTACAAGAATGATTGATTTCATTATTATTATCATCATTACGTTTTCCAGGATTTTTCTTTCGTGTTCTAGAACATTCCAAAAAGGAAATTTTTATTTTTTATTTCTGGATTTTTTTTTTTTATTAATAATTTTTGAATAAAATTGATTTTTTAAAAAAAAATTTTTATTTATTTATTTTTTCGGAGATTTAAATTGTTTTATCCGGGATAAAGGGGAAGAGGGAGAGTAGGGGAGTTGAGGGGGATAGAGGGAAGGAAAGGGAGAGGGATGATGGAATATTCCAGACGAAAATAATAATAATTTTTTTTTTTTTTTATTGGGTTGAGAAAAGAAGAAGTAAAAAAAAAAAAATTTGTTTATCGTGAAAATTTTTTTTTATTAATTTTTTTGATGATAATTTTCACGAGTTGTTTGTTTGTTTGTTTGTTTGTTTGTTTGTCTGTTCGTTTGTATTTATACGTCCCGAAAGTAAAAATAAAATAAAATATTTGTTTTAACGAGTTGGAAAAGAGAAAACAACAACCGAATGAAAATTTTCAGTTTTTTTATTTCGTTTTCATATTTTTTAACCGCCGCCATTTTTAAAACAATTATTATTATTATTATTATTATTATTATTATTATTATTTAACGTTTGTTTAAAGCGGTTGTCGTTGTTGTTGTTAAAATGAAGAAAATAGAAAAACATTATGTTATTAAAAAAAAAAAAAAGTTTAAATCACGATGAAATTACTGGGAAAATTTTTTTTTTTTCTATTTTCGCGCCTGGAATTTTGTTTTATTATTATTATTATTATTAATATTTTTTAGTTTGGATGTGTTTGTCGGTGTGTTTTCCAGGGATTCGTTTTCCAGGGTTTAAAACACCGATGAATTGTTTTATTAAAATTTTTCAAAGAATTTCGAACGAACCGCGGGAAAATCCAATTTTCAGTTTTACTTCAAAAAAATTATTTTCGTGGTTTCGGGAAAGGTTTAACTTAAATCATTTCCGGTTATTCCCCGATGTTGAATCAATAAACATTTCTCGGAATAATCTTGCCACAGAATGATATCCGGTTTGTTGTCTTAGTTTCGTTTGTGTGTGTCTGTGTGCGTGCGGTTGTCGATTGTATGAAATTTTACTATTTTATTATTATTATTATTATTATTATTATTATTATTATTATTATTATTATTATTATTAATATTAATATTTACTGGAAAAATTAAAAAAAAAAGGGGAAATCACATGCAAACCCGTCAACATCACTTGTCTTTTTTTTGACATTTTGAAAAGGAAGTTTTCGAGAAAATGTCGGAAAATTTTTACCGTACAAAAAAAAATGAAAAAATTTTTTTTTTTGAAAACCTTAGAAGGAAAGCAAAAGGAAAGGAAAGGAAAAAAAGTAAAAAAGGCAAAACTTACAACTCTTTCCCTTTTCAAAGACCCGACTTAACAACAACATAAATCAAGGGGAGGGTTGAAAAAAAAAAAAAAACGTGGCAGTAGAAAATATCATTTGACCGGACAATCGGAAAAATGTTTTTAACAGTTTTATTATGAGTTTAAAAAAAAAAAAGTTTAACCTTTTGAATACGAGAAGTTTTCCTTTTTTTTTTTTTTTGTTATTTTGGATATTTTTGAAATTGCGTTGTGTAAAAAAGCAGGACGAAAAGAAAAAAAGGTGGGTGGGGATAATGGGGGGAAGGGGGAGAAAAAGGAATAAAAAAAAAGGTTGAGGAAATCCAGAAGAAAAAGTTTCCGACGTCGTCAACTGTCAAAGAACCGAAAATGTTTTTTTTTTTTTGAAAAGGTTTCAATGCTTTCGCTTTCATTCATCCGATAACAAAAGCCGTGTAATAATTGTTGTTTTCGTCGTCGTCGTCTGCTAACATTTAATTCTAGAGAAATGAAAAAAAAAAGAAAAAGAAATTTTTACCGGAAAAAAGAAGAAAAAAAAGAAAAACGACGGAAAGGAAAAAACGTTAAAAAAAAAAGAAAAACAATTTGAAACGAAAGGAAAACTTAAAAATTTTCTCCAGTTTTAGTAAACGAAGTGAAAATGAAAAAGAAAGAGAAAAAAACAAAGTTAGAGAGAAAGAGAGGGAACGGAAAGGTAAAAATAAAGAGAGCGAGAAAGTGAAAAGAAAGGTGAGACAGAAAGAGAATATAAACAGAGACAAAAAGAAAACAAAACTCAACAAAGAAAGACAGTAGCAAGTAAAAGACAGAGAGACAAAATGAAAACAAAAGAAGGAGTGAGTAGAGAGAGAAACAGAAAATAATAACAATATAGAGAAACAAGAGAGACAGAGATAGAGAAAGAGTGAAAGAGAGGCAGAGAGAAAAGAGAGAAAAAGTGAAAAGAAAGGTCAGATAGAGAGAGAGAGAGAAAGAAAGATAAATTGAGAAAAAAGAGAGAACGAAAAAAAGACAGAAAAGGCAAAGAGAAAGAGAGGCAGAGAAAAAGACGAAAACAAGTTAAAAGAAAGAGAAAGGGACAGAAAGAAAGACAAAAAAGGCGAAGAGAGAGAGCCGAAATCAGGCAGAGAGAAAGGGAGGCGAAAACGTTAGACATAGAGAGAGAAAAACAAAAACAGGCAGGCAGAGAGAGAGATGAAATAAAAAAACAAATGAAATAAAGATTAGAAAGAGAAAAATGAAAAGAGACGGATAAAGGAAAAACAAGAGAAAAAAAAAGAGAAACAGAATGAATAGAGAGAGTGTGAGAAAGAAAGAGAGAAAAAAAATGAACCTGGAATATCATTTTCAACCGTGAAAAATTCTAAAAAAATAAAAACAAAATTTATCATTTACATAAACCGGAAAAGGAAATAAAAAAAGAAAGAAAGAAAGAAAATTTTTTTTTATTTTTTATTTTATCCAGTTTTCATTTAACCGTTAAATTTTTTTTTGGAGAATCATGGAGAACGCCTGTCAAAATATTCATTATTAATCATAAAAAAATCATATTTTTTTCTGCTGGAAAATAAAAAAAGAAAAAAAGAGAAAATGAAAGAAAATTGAGTTTAAAAAAAAAAAAGGCGGGAAAAAAAGAAAATCAAATTCAAAATGTTACGACAAAAATAAATAATGAAAATTGAAAAGAAAAAAGAAAAAAAATTTATTGAAAAGAGAAAAAGATTGAGCAAAAAAAAACAGGTTGGCCAACTGAAATTAACTTTCTTTAACGTTTTTTATTGCATGAATGATTTTGGCACACCAGATGTCGCACGAGTCAGTTTCCGGTTTTTTTCGTTTAAATTGAGTCGTTTTTTGAAGAAAATCTTTTTCTTTTTCCTCTTTCCTCTCTCTCTCTCTCTCTCTCTCTCTTTCTCTCTTTCTCACGCGCGCGCTTTTTCTTTTTTTTTTCTCCCATTTGCGTTTTTTCGCTTCGTTTGAATCCGATTCTGGAATTTATGAAATGATAACGCCAGATGTTATGGCATTTTATGTATTATTTTTTCTCCCGTTTTCTTATTTTCCTTACTTATGCCTTACTTCAACAACTCTCTTTATCCATTTCTTTATTTTTTCCTTCCTCTTCCTTTCCCCCTACCTTTTTTTTTTAATAATTTTCGTTCCTGATGTTTTATGCGAATAAGTAAAAAAAAATGAAAAAAAAATTTATTAACGTGAAAATTCATAGTTTTTTTTGTTTTAAAAAAAAGATGAACCGAAAGTAGGAGGAAAAGAGGAGAAAAGAATGAAGAAGGGGAAAAAAAGGAGAAAGATGAAAGAAAATTTATACGGAGAAATCAGGGAAAAATAGGAGTACGGGGAGAGGTAAAGTTAAAAGAAAAGGAGAAGGAAGGTTAATGCTGAGGAGAAAAATGAAAAAAGGAAGGGGTACGATTGTGAAGAGTGAAGGGGAAAAATGGTAGAAGAGACTAAGAATTAACAAAAAGTGGGTAAAACATGGAAAGGAGATGATTGAAAGAAATAATAGAAAAAGAGAGGGGAAAAAATGAGATGGGGTAAGGAAAAAATGAAAAGGAAAATGAAAGATTAGGAAAAGTGAAGGGAAAAGATGGAAAAAAATTATTAGAATAGAAAAAAAGGAGAAGTGATGAGAAAAGGGTATGAACAAAACGGAAAAAAGAAAAAAAAAAGAGGAGAAATGATGGAGTGGAGAAGAAAAAAATAGAAAAATGAAGGAGAAGAGATGGAAAGGGTATTGAAAAAATAGAAGAAAGAAGGGGAAGTGATAAAAAAACGAAAGGGGAAGAAATAAGAAGGTGAATGAATGAATAAAAAAAGAGAGGGAAAGGATAGAGAGGAGATCAAAAAAATAGAAAAAATAGGAGAAGAAATGAAAAAGGAAAGGGGAAGAAACGTAAAGGAGAAAGAAATAATAGAAAAAAATCGAGGGGAAAAAATGAATAGGACAAGATTAGGAGATGAGATTACAATAATTAGAAAAAAGGAGGAGAAGATATGGAAAAAAGAAGAGGAGGAGGGGAAAAAATGGAAAGGGAAATAAAAGAATAAAAAAAAAGGGGAGGGGAATAGTTATTTAAAAAGGATTTTTCTCATTGGCAAATTTTTTTCTTTCATTTTAATTATTGCCCCGCCCCTTCGCCATTCAAAAAAAAAAAAACAAATTAAAAAAAAATATTTTTTTGTAATTTAATTTTCTTTTTAAAGTTAAAGAAGTTAAACTTTAATTTGTGACGCCATTTTTAAATGCCACGTATATGCAAAGCATTAGTAAAAAAAAACAATAATAATAATAATAATGATAATAATAATAAAATTAAAAAAAAAAAAGGATTTACGTGCGAGGTGGAAAAAAAACAAAACCAGAAAGAGAGAGAAAGAAGAGTAAGGTAAAGTAAGAAAGGTTAGGTATGGAAGAAAGGAAGGAGGAAAAGGATTGTTCCAGGAAGGTTGAGGGGTGGGGTGATGTAGGGGGATGGTGGTTAAAAACACGGAACCCCATTCGTAGAAATT